CCTCCCGCCCCTCCTGCCCGCCCCTCCTGCCTGCCGCCTGCCTCCGTTGCCCGCCTCCATCCCCCACGTTCGTTGTCAGCCGCCGTCGTCACTCATTGTCGGCTTCCGCGCGTCTCTCTTTGCCCAAGTAAATACATTATTTTCAATCTACTTTGAACCAAACAAAAAAATATAAAGTCCTATGTTTATTAAACAATTCCTCTCCACCTAACAACTTGAAAATATTTCAAATACATTGTAATTATGGACCTTGCAAACCTTTCATTGCATTTCATTTTTAGCAAACCAAATGATCCCTTACTAAAGTTCCAAATCTCTTTTCATGTTGCAAACCTTTCATTGCATTTCATTTTTAGCAAACCAAATGACCCCTTACTAAAGTTCCAAATCTCTTTTCATGTAGCCCAAACCAAACATCATGAAAAGTTTTGATGTATTTAACAAGTGACAAAATTGGTTTTAAAATTGCATAACGTTTTGTGTCTCCATCTTTCAATGTAAGTTCAATCTTCCATCAGGAGAAAAAAAGTTCTTTATAATTCTTTTTCCATGAAATAAGATTACAAAACGCTAATTCTTGGAGGATGATTTTAATATGTTACTATATCAGTTTATTTTTTAAAAAGGGTTAAACGAGTCTTGGCTATTTGTGTCCTTTGATAATGTGCATGAATGATTAAAAAAAAAAAAAAAAGACTATCGTTGTTAATGATTTAAGTTTCTAAAATGATACTTCAACAAATATGTAAAATGGTTTGGGGCTTTTAGGGTGAAGAATTATAATTCTTTTTTTCAGGTGAGTGTTTGAAAGTTATGGTAGCAATCCAAGTTCCTTGATGGCAGTAATCCTCTGCATATTGATAAGTTTGTATGGCTTCTTGATTCAGATTGATTTTTTTTTTTTAAATTTTATTTTCTATATCTTTCAGTGTTCAAACAGCCACGATGCTGCCCATCAGTTTGTCCACTGATGAAGATTCAAGGCCCAAGCCATCATATAGGTGGCAAAGGGTCTTACTTAAGGTAAGCGGAGAAGCACTAGCTGGGGATCACACAGAAAATATTGATCCTAAGGTAGGAAGTGGAGCTATTAAACATCTCATGCTTCAATACTCAAGTTGACATTTTTTCGCACGTCATAAATTTTTGGTCTGCCTGCTGTTTTTTCTTTATTTTATTTTCTTTTATTTTATTTTTTTTGTGGATCCAAGAACTTTAATACTCTGTGGAAATACAAATTATTCTATAGAAAATGTTGAGCTTTCCTTATGCGTAACAAGTGATTCTTCAGCCTTTTCATGAGTTCTCTAACTATATTAATATGTTCTGAGGCCTACTAGTTTTGTTGCTGTAGTTCTCAAGTAATTTCTCAGCCGGTTCATGAGTATCTCTAATAATGTTAACATGTTATAAGCCTTGCGATATGAGAGTTGGAATTCTCAAAATGACTTTGCATTTCTCTTTCCTTCACAAACTTTCACCATTTTTTATCGAGAACCATAAGAAACCTTCAATCCTGACGTTGCATGCATGTATCTATATCTCTTCAAGTATTGATTGATGTTTGTCATGGTGTCATTCTCTATTTTGCTTGCAGATTACAATGTCCATTGCCAAGGAAGTGGCATCTGTGATCAGGCTTGGCATTGAGGTATGTTTGTCATTGTACATTTTTAGGTGATAGAATGTTAAACATATGAAATAAAACTCTTGCAATGTGTCAATAGTTTAAAATGTAATTTATTGTTGATTTGCTTAACTAATTCAGGTTGCTATAGTTGTTGGTGGGGGTAATATTTTCCGTGGAGCGTCATGGGCTGGGTGTAGTGGCCTTGATCGTTCCTCTGCAGACTATATTGGGTATGGAATACCATACATTTGGGTTTTTTTTTTTAATCATATCTTACAATTTTGTGCATCCTGTTTCTATTTGGAGTGTTGCAATTAGTGCATTTTTTTCTATGAACATTATCTGATTTGTAATAATTTATTTAATTGATGAAATAATTTGCATTGTTTAGCCCTTTCACTTTTTAATTGCTATTTTTAAAGAATATTATTAAGTATTGAAATAATTCAATTTTATGCAGTACTGATATAGCCACTATTTTCTCATTTATGTAGAGAGGAGTTTATCAGATGCCACCAACTTGTTGGACCCCTATTAAATTTGGTTTCTTCCCTCTTTTCTCTTTGAATATTTCTTTTGTAATGATTCTAAGGCATCCAGAAGAGAGGGAAATTTACGTGAATGAATATTGGGATACATCTATCTTACGCCTCGCAACATATTCTGTAATCCTTCGAGCCTTTTAATCTTCTTTTTATTAAGTTCTTCATGGTTTGCGATTGTCTTTATTTTGAGTGGGTCATTTTTGCATGAGTTTTGCTTTGATTCCTCTGTTGTCCTCCATAATATCATTATTCCTTGCTGATTATATTGGTTTTATTGTTAGATTTCTAACATTTCTCCATAGCCTGTCTTTGCTTTTACACTAGGGACGCTAAAGCTTGTCTTTTTTTGTCCGTGTTTGTAGTTTTAGACAATTTTGCTTTCCCACTCTCGATGGTCAATAGTTATTCTTGTTACACGATGGTCAAAAGTTATTCTTGTTACACCTTGGGCATGAAGTGATAAAAAATCTGTTTTGTACTCACAAGAGCAAAGCTCATCGATAAGTAATATAAATAGTAAGAATAATGTTTTTTTATTTCATAAATATAATTTATATATTGATATATTAGTAGAAATAGTACAACGGGAAAGAAAAAAGGAACAACTAATACATGACTAGCTAAATCCAATGTATGTTCCGAAAATTCTCGCGCTGAACTCTTGTCGTTGTTGAGATCTTTTTATTTAGGTATTACAGGTCAAATTTTTAGAAAACATATTTGATTGTAGATAAGTCACTATCTAGAGATATTACCCTCAACTTGTGTTTTTTTTATATGAGGTTCGAGATTTCCCATAGGCGCAAGCCCCTATGAATAATTACCTCTTCTGATAATAGGAGAGCACTTTCAATTAATGTTAGTTATTAAACATTAAATACTTATCATGCAATAATAGTAGAATCAAGGTTTTAAATTGTTCAATTTATTACCTTGAGCTTAATGCAGATGGTGGGGGAAATGATGACTAACCTGATCAAGTTCTCATGGTTATGTCATCCCGGGTTGTCGTGATTTTTGATCTACCTAGTCAGAGGAGGTAGTCAACCCAACCTTGCTAAAAGATTTGCCAGCAGCTATGAGTTACGTCCTCTAAGAGATCCTTGTAGATCTGCGGTGGATTTTTATTTAAGATGTTAAATTTAAGTTGATCTTAACTAACATAATGCTTTATACCAATCAAATGTACCCTTATGATTTATAACTCGAAGGATAAAAAATCGTTGGGGAACATACAAGTTGCAACTGCGATCTTAATATAGCCGTCATTTAGCGCCAATTCACTTAGTTTGAGGGTTCTAGCCGTAGTCGTTGATATTTGAAATTGCTGTAAAGCAATTGATAAATCACACAAGTATCTGTGTCGATCAAATAATGTACTAATGCATATCTATCCCATGAGGATAATTGTCAAAATATTCATAAAAGGGAAATTTCAAGTGTACTAAATCGTTAAATCTAGTTTGAGGTGATCAAAGTGTCAGAGGAATATCCTAACAGTCCTAAAGCGCACTAAACATAATTAACAGTAACAGAAAATGCATAGAGCAACTTTGAGTCCTTTTGATGCGATGAGGCTTGTGCTTCAATGACACCGATATAGTGTTCTCTATGTTAATATTTACAATAACAAAATCATACATTAAAGAGAATCCAATCGGTGTTGACGACGACGACGACGAGAAAACAAATTCTTCAAAATGAGAACACATATTTTTTTGATTTTTTTAATAAAAATAAAATATATATTGTTTTATATAATGTTTAATGTTTAATGTGTAAGACAAATAGTACAATGGGGAAGGAAGGGGTCAATTGGGATTTTGGGCTTGTGCTAGGTTTAGGTTATGTGACAAAATGGGATGTTCGGTTTAAAGTAGGGACAATGAAACAAGGAAAATTCTCATCAAGTTCAAACAAAAGGAAAGGGGTTTCAAACAACGTGATCAAGGACTGAGAATTCAGGCACAGTAGTAGGACCTTACAATCGGCTAGAGCAGCGTAAGGCTAGAGTTTGTGTGCGAATAGGGAAGTGAAGGCTTCTGGATCACGCGAAGGACATAGCGGGGAGGTATTTTTGGGTTTGGGATCACATTTGACAAGGAGAGAGAGAGAGAAGTTCGGGTGAGTAGAGGGGAAAAGCAAAACTTGGCATGAGGGATTTTGGGCTGAAGTCAAGTTCAGTGGATGGGCGACAAAGAAGACGAATGGAAGAGCACGGTCGACTATATCGTGCGAAACGAGGTGGAACCAGGGGCGTGCATTATTCAGTTAAAATTAAAAATCTGAAAAACATAAAAAAAAAATCGAAAAACAGAAAAACCTAATTGAACCGATCAATTTGGTCGATACAATTTTATTTTAATATTGCATTTCATTTTTTGGTTTTTAAAATCTTAATATTTGATTTTTGGTTTTCAGTTTCATTTTGTATTTCATTTAATCGAACAAGCCGAAACCAAAATTTGAACTTAAATTAAAAATTCATGTGATTAAATCGATATTATATGTGTAAGATATGTAATTCTTGATATTTATTAATAACCTAAGTGCAACCAATAACTAACTTTTAGCTTATTCAAAATCAAACCGTTTAAATCGAATTAAATTTTGGTTTGGTCAGTTCAGTTTTATAAAATTTTGATTGGCTTAATTTTTTCAGATTTTTATTGCAATTCTTTTGATGAATTTGAAAACAGATCCATCCAAACCGATCGACTGCTCACCTCTAGGCGATCTAGCGGTTGGAGCAGAAGAATCACGCGGGCTTCTGTCTTGGTTTTTGCAGTGGAGAGGAGTTTAGCGCTTTTGGGTTCCGGAACGAGAGAGGAAAACAGTGCGATGGGCTGCGACATAGGGAGACGAAGTGGAAATGATGAAGAACAATTGGTGAGAGTAGAAACAAACAGGAGAGTGGGAGTACCAGAGGAGTTTTCATGTCAGTTTGTAACTAAGAGGAAGCGGGAGCAGTTATGAAACTGAATGTGGGTGTGCTTGGCGGGAGAAGGTACTGAATTTACCGATGGGAAAATGTAACTTTAAACTTAGTGGGTGATGAGGAGACGAAGTTGAAATGAGGAACAGTGTGTGAGAGCAGAAACGAACAGGAGAGTGGGAGTACCAGAGGGATTTTTCATGTCTGTTTGTAACTAAGAGGAAGCAGGAGCAGTTTTCAAACTAAACGCGGGTGTGCTCGGCGGGAGCAAGTATTGTACTTTGCTGGCGGGAATAGGTAAGTCTTAAACTTGGTTAGTTATATATGTATTTGTTGAAATTTAAAATAACACAATAATATTATTGATATGAAAATGGGTTATAAATAACCCTCACATGAATCTTAGAACATGAATGACAGGATAAATGAAACAATAGAAAAGAAAAGTTATGACACTTAATATCTCTAATTAATCGATTTATAATAATTATTTGGAGATAAAAGAAGCAACATAAAATAGGAAATACTAAAATAGAAATGAAAATAAATCAAATCAAAGAAAATAAATCTAATCCTCATAACTTTTAACACGAATAAATTATTTCTTAATCTAATTTCTAACACACCCCTCAAGTTGAAACATGGTTGAAACCATATTTCAACTTGGATTTGAAAACATAAATGGGCAAGAAGATCCTGTGAGGTAGAACTTGAAGCTTTCCTCCCGTACTGCAGTTGTTTTTTATTGCAATTTCTGCAGTGTCTGTAGGTAAGTGGAAGACTCCTACATGTAATGTTGCAGAGAAGTTTACAGGGAAGTAGAAAACCTGCAGCAAAAACTGACTTCTACCTGACTACGGTTGTCGTCTGCTGTAGTTTCTGCAGTGTCTGTAGATAGACAAAAATTTTCTACATGTAATGTTGTAGGGAAGTTTTCAGGGAAGTAGATAACCAACAGAAAAAGTTGTAGGGTATGACCCGCAGAAAAAGAGGAAAAATTTCGCAGGAGGCCTTGTTGCAATAAAAAACTCCGGACAGTAAAAGGCTTCAGAGGAGTGACTGTTGCAGGAAGAATTCATTTTGAGGCCTGCTGCAGGAAAAACTCCAGAGGAGTGCTTGATATAGGAAAAAACTCCAAAGGAGGGCCTGCTGCAGGAAAAGTTTCAGAGGAGGGTCTGCTGCAGGAAAAAGTTCCGGTGGTGGGCTTGATGCAGGAAAAAGTTCCGGAAGAGGACCTGTTGCTGGAAGAATTTTAGTGGAGGACCTGCTGTAGGAAAAGCTTTAGAGGAGGGTCTGATACATGAAAAAGCTCTGGAGAAGGGTCTGCTGTAGGAAGAGCTCTGAAGGAGGGTATGATGTAGGAAGAACTCCGGAGAAGAGCCTGCTACAGGAAAAAGTTCCAGAGGTAAGCTTGCAACGGAAAAGGTTCAGAGGAGGGTGTGATGCAGAAAAAAGGCTTTGAAGGATGACCTGCTACAGAAAGAATTCTGGTTGAGGGCTTGCTGCAGTAAATGCTCTAGATCAGGACCTATTATGGGAAAAAAGTTTTGAAGGATGCAGAAAGAATTCTGGTGGAGGAGCTGTTGCAGGAAAAGTTCTGTTTCTCTCTGTGTTGACTGGTGCCAACCTTGCAAGAGTTGATGTAGGAACTGATACAGGTCTATTTTTCTCTTTCATCACGATCACAATAGAAGCATAAGATTTCTTGCGCTCTTGTCCATTTAAAAGACCTGAAACAGTTACTACCACC